TGAATAGAAGTGGTGATAGCGGGCATCCTTGTCTGGTTCCTGTCCTCAAGAGGAATGGTTTCATCTCCCTTCCTCTCTTGCCCTTTCCTGGTAACCATGGAAGGATATTTCTTCCTGTGTATAAACCTGTTGTTGGATTTTTATAATAGTGGTCTCATATGGTATTTGTCCTTTTGTGGTGGACTCAGCATAATGTCCTCCAGATTCATCCACGTTGGGAGATGTTTCACAGATTCATCATTATCTTTTAATGTTGCATGGTATTCCGTTATGTATTTGTTTATCCATACATACATTGATGGACACTTAAGTTGTTTCCATCTTTTTGCTATTGTGAATAATGCTGCTATGAATATGAGTGTGCATGTGTCTTTTCATGTCATAGCTCTTCTCTAGGATATATACCTACGAGTGAGATTGCTGGATTGTATGGTATTTCTATTCCTAGCTTTTTAAGGAACCACGATATCATCTTCAGAGTGGTTGTACCATTTTGTATTCCCACTAGCAGTGTATAAGAGTTCCAGTCTCCCCACATCCTTTGTTGTTCACTGTTTCTTTTTTGATCACTGTCATTATTGCCAGGGGCAGATGATATCTGATTGTAGTTTTGGTTTGCATTTCCCTAGTGGCTAATGACTGAGAGCATTTTTTCATGTGTGTGTTAGCCACCTGAATATCTTCTTGATGAAGTACTTGTTCATATCCTTTGGCCATTTTTTATTTTCATTGTTTGTCTTTTTGTTATTGAGGTATTGAAGTTTTCTGCAAACTTTAGAGATTAGACACTTGTCTGATATGTGGTAGCCAAATTTTTTTTTTGCCAGTATGTAGGTTCTCTTTTTAGTCTTTGGGAAAGTGTTTTGATAAGTTTAGCTTTTTTCCTGAGTGTGAAATCAAGAGATCTGAGTTCTAGGGCTACCTCTGCTATCCATAAATCATTCACCCTCTCTGTGTTTTAGACTCCACATCTTCAAAAAGTATCAAATTTTACTCATTTTTCTGATCCTAATTATAATAAAAGTAAAATTATTTGAATTATATCCATATACTTCTGCTTTCAGCCTTGATATGTAAATTACTCCTGTAAATTCAGGTAGATTCCTAAGATTTCCAGTTAAGGTACTCTTTAGAGTTGTACATGGCTATTTCTTTTATTACTTACCCACTTTTATTTTTTATTGAGGAAATTAACTAGTAGCCTTGGCAAATTTTTTTATTGGCTTCTTTCTCTGGCAGTATTGTGAAAAGCTTATTTTATGTTAATGAGATACTTTGAGACAGATAACATAACACATTTACCTCTTTTCCTTTGTAGGTTCTTTGGTGGTGAACTACCCTTATGATGATGATGAACAAGGGCTCGCAACATACAGTAAATCACCAGATGATGCTGTGTTTCAACAAATAGCACTTTCTTATTCCAAGGTAAGCTTGTGTTTAAGCATAAGGTGCTGTAAAATTCTTTTTTTTTTTTTTTTCTAAAGTGCCTTAAATGTTCTGCAAGATTTACATCAAGTGCTTTCCTCTCAATTAAGCTTCCCATGATTTCTCTAATGCAGCCTTAGGGCTTTTGCTCCTTTATTTCTCCCCTCACTTTTGAACATACTATGTATAATGATTTCCTAAGGCTTCTGTAGCAAAATACCACAAACTGGGTGGCTTATAAAACAGAAATTTATCACAATAAGATAAGATAATTGTTGTATAGTGTGCAGAATACAGAGAGGCCATCTCAATCCTGCTAGAGGCCAGGAAAAGCTGCTTAATTTACATTGTATGCATATTATCAGTTTTTGGACTTTGAGCTTCTTGAAAGCATGAACATGAACGGGTTTGGAGGGTGGCACAGGGTCAGGATTTAGTCTGGGTTTTCTATTACTTGTAATTGCAAGTAATAATGAAGTCTTCTATTTTTTATTGATCACATTTCATTTTGATTTTAAAAAATAGATCATAAATTCACATACACAATAGTTATGGCATAGAAAGCTATACATTAAAAGATCTCACTGCCTTCTGTGGCCCCATCTACTCCATTCCCACTCCACACACCTTATTTGTAACCACTGTTAGTATTTTCCTATACCCTCCCAGCGTTTTTTGATGCAGATACAAACAAAAAGAATTAAGAATTCTTATTTCCCTCCTCACACAAAAAGTAGCATACTATCTACATTGATCTGTTTTTTTTCCACTAAGCAGTATATCCTGGAGATCATCCCAGATTTGATCTTAAGTATTCTTTTGAGAAAAAGAAATGTCAGTTAAATGAATGACCATATTACTTGCAATCATTCACTATAAAATCGTGTTTTTGTTTTTAAGGAAAATTTCCAGATGTTTCAAGGCAGACCTTGCAAGAATATTTATCCTGCTGAATATTTTCCCCATGGGATAACAAATGGAGCTAAATGGTACAATGTCCCAGGTAAACATTATTGTACATTAAGTCCACAGAATTTGATGGATTTTTCTTCCCCTGAATTATGCTGCCTGTCACTGATCTTTTAATTTTGAAAAAGAAACAGTCTTTTAAAATGCTACAAAAATATTAAGTTCAAAGCATTGAAAGTAACTTTTTCAGCTATTAAAATTTTGTGCACTTTGAGTGAAAGTAATGCACTGAAACTTGGTGAAAGTGTTAAATTTTACTTCTAACTGTTACAAAGAACCTTCGATGTGCTACCAGGAAATGTGAAAGTACAGGTGTTTTACCTGTATCACAGAACATCAAAGGAGCCCTCACAGGAAGGCATTAATTATTGTTTTTCAACCAAATGTAGATGAGAGATGAATATGGTTTTCACTAGGAATGCTGCTTACCTTTTGGGATCTGAGCTATTTAAAACTTCTTCAGTCAGTGATTTTAATTTTTTAACCTTTAGGTGGTATGCAGGACTGGAACTACTTACACACAAATTGCTTTGAAGTGACTATTGAACTAGGTTGTGTGAAATACCCACTTGAGAAAGAACTGCCAAAACTTTGGGAACAGAATCGAAGATCTCTAATCCAGTTCATGAAACAGGTGACTATTTAAGAATATTCTTTGAGGAAGAAGATAATTTTTGTGTGTACATGTGGTTTTCATGCAGTGATTTTAGAATACATCCTTTCTAGTCCAGTTTGACCCATTCATGTTTTAGTACATTTATCTAGAAAATTCATGAATTGAAATGGATTTGTTTGGATATGTGGGGAGGAGTTGAAGAAAATAGTTAAATAGATAGTGAAGTTTTGCTCTTAGTAATTAGTGATCACATTAGATCCTATCTTTATTTAAGTTAACTAACATAAATTGGATACTTATTCTAAGCATTTGTCAAGTGATAGAAAGATAGGCTGTGGGATAAATTTTTTTTTAACCTTTTATTGTGGTTTGGGTGGAAGTTTGCAGAGTAAATTAATTTTCCATTCAACAATTTATGCACATTTTTGTGTGTGTGATATTGATTGCAATCCCCGCAATGTAACAGCATTCTTCCCATTTTCCTGTGTTCCCTTTTTCCATTCATCCTTCCTTCCTGCCTTATGAGGTGTTTTTTTTTTTTTTTTTTTTTTTTTTGCAAACTCTCCCCTTTTGGTCTCATATGGTTGATTGTTCTAAGGATTGTGTTTCACCCTGGCATTATGGTTCACTTTATAGGCCTGTCTATTGTTTGGCTGAAAGATGATCCACAAGGGGTAAATGCTTTTATCCTTTCTCTTTTTGCCAGTGATTTACTGTGAAATGATTAATTTCCTTTTGTTTGGATATGCATTGTGGCCAGCAGGTAAAAATTACAAGAGATATGCTAAGGGTTTAATTAGGATAATCTGACTAATGCTTTGTGCCAGTACTTTTCCACTTTATTCTTTGTGCTGAATAGTATGGCATAAAGGCTGTCTGTTTGCATACTAATTTTTAAAAACATTTTATTCTGAAAAATTTTAGAGATACAGAAAAGCTGTAAGACTGGTACGATTTGGGACACTCCTATTCCTACACCTAGATTTGACAGTTGTTAACATTTTGCTGTATTTTACTTTCTTAGATTTAAATTATAGACACAAATTTTTTGCTAAACTAATTCAAACCAAATTGCAGATGTTATCATATTTTACCTGCAAATATTTTACCATGTGTCTTCCAAAAGTTAAGACATCCTCCTATATAATCAAATGCTGTTACCTCACATAAGCAAATTAACAGAAATTCTTAATATTATCTAATATTTACTCTGTATTTAAATTTCTCCCACTTGTCCCCAAAGTATCTTTTTTTGTGTGTATGTGATTTGGGTGAAAATTTACAGAGCAAATTCAATTTCCATACAACGAAAGTATCTTTTTATAGCTATAGTTTAGAACCAGGATCTAGTCAAGATTCATACATTGCATTTGATTGTTGTATCTCTTTACTCTTTTTAACCTACACTAGCTCTTCCTTTGTTTTTTTTTCAAATGACGTTTCCTTTTTGAAGAGGCCAGATCAGTTTACTTGTAGCATGTTCCATATTTTGAATTTGTCAGAATATGCTAAACTGTGTTCTTTAGATTCTTCATGGTAAAGACAAAACTAGCCTATGGAAAAAAATAGCCTTCTGGAAGCTAAAATGTTTTATTTAATGAATGTTTACTAAATATTTAGCTTTACCCTCCACTCCTAAATTCCTATTTGTTTCATACTTTTACATTATTAAGAATCTTATTTTGTCATCTGAGCTCTCAACAAAGATTGATGATTTTTACCATTGAAATCTGGTGTCCTTGTTTTACCCAGGCTCATCAAGGTGTAAGAGGATTTGTTCTAGATGCCACAGATGGCAGGGGTATATTAAATGCTACCATTAGTGTTGCTGAAATTAATCACCCAGTAACTACTTACAAAACTGGAGATTACTGGCGTCTCTTGGTTCCAGGAAGTTATAAAATCACAGCATCTGCTCGAGGGTGAGTGAATAAATGCTTTGAAATTGAGTGTTTGGAGATAAGACAAACATGCTTCCATTGTAGATGATTATTCCTAGACAGCCTGCTAAGCAACGTTTAGTTTAGTGTTGGGTAGCTTAGAGCTTGTTACACTTTCGACTCTCCTCTAGTGGCAAAGTGAGTGCACTAACTAGTAGGTGTAAGAAATCTATAAAGTGAGGCATCCTCAACAGTGGCCTCTTTTACCTTCCTCCTCTTCCTCTCCTGATCACCTGTCTGCTGTCCAAATGTAAGCGCCATAGTGAACGATTTCCTTTACCATTGGTAAAAATTCTGGGCAGGACCTGTTAGTTGATAAAACATTGTTCCTTCCCTGCTGCACACTTCTCATCATGTTATCCAATAAATACCACCACCTAACATTTGTACCATTTTAAGGCCTTTTAAAGCTCTTTCACAGACACTCATTTTTTACTGTCGTACATATGTCTTATGTTTTAGTGAAATTTACTTCTACTTCTTATTGCCATTTCTCCAAGTAAGACTACATTCATTTTCTTCCCCACAGGTTTTCTTTCCACAGAGATATATTTCTTGAAAAAAGAATGAATGAATTTATGATCTTTTATTTTCCCTGAAAAAAAAATTTCTTTATCTTTCCCCTCCTTTGCAGCTTAAAATTAGAACCACTTGACTGCTTAGTCTGAAACAGGATTTTTACCCTCTCATTGCCTTCTATGTTTTGTTAAGTGCAGATGTTTTTCTCTCCTTCTGCTACCTTGTTTCTGAAGAGGTGAACAACTGTTGACGTAAGAGTAAATACATGAAAACATTTAAGTTGTTGGTACTTTTTTAAAAACTTATTTTCAAATATCTAGTGGTCCAGAAATGGATGAGTTAAAACCTTGCACTAATCAATAATAAGAGTTTTTCTGTTTTTCTTCAGTTTTGACATAGTATTAGATAAACTAAAGCAGCAAGTAACTGAGAAATAGGGCAAGAAGGATGTGCTTGGTAAAGAATATCCTAAATTAGTATACATCAAATATTTTTACCCTCATATCCTGATGGCAGACAAGTAAACTCAGATTCTGTAAGACATAAGGGTATCTATTATAAGCACAAAATTTCTTTTAAAGTCATATGCGTAATCTTAAGAACACATTCATACTTGATAGTGAACTACATATGTGTTCTTTGTTTATTAATACTTAAAAAACTTAAATTATCACAGTTAAAAATTTTGTGTTTTAGAAAGATATACAGTGTTTATCTCAAGCACTCATGTACCTTCCATACCTTCCACATTCCTCTATTTTCCCAGGGCTTGGGTACTCCACTGAAGAAGTGTGGCTCTGGTCTTTCTCTTTATTACAGGTATAATCCAGTTACCAAGAATGTGACCGTAAAGAGTGAAGGTGCCATTCAGGTCAACTTCACACTTGTTCGATCTTCTACAGATTCAAACAATGAATCAAAAAAAGGGAAGGGGGATAGCACCAACACTGATGATGCCAGTGATCCAACTACTAAAGAGTTTGAAACTTTAATTAAAGACCTTTCAGCTGAGAATGGTTTGGAAGACCTCATGCTACGCTCCTCTTCAAATCTAGCTCTCTATCGATACCATTCATACAAAGACTTATCAGAATTTCTGAGAGGACTTGTAATGAACTATCCACAGATTACAAATCTTACCAGGTAAGGGTTATCTTCTTACTATTTTATTGCCTTTTTTTTTTTTTTTTTTAAAGAGGATACATTCAGTATTAGCCACATTGAATGGTTCTTGTTTATTTAGAAATATTTGGGAATAGAATGTATAGAGAATTGGGGTTTACTTATTTTGTAACAGATATTTGCTTGAAGATCTTTCTAACAATGAATCTTAGGAACTTTCATGAGGTGCACTGGAGAAGAATTTCTTGTTAGATTAGCAATGTATAGCCTGTGCAGTCAGAAAATATAAAATTATTCTTCTTAATGATCACTTAAACTAATTTCAAAACCTTTCCACTTCTGAGCTGCAGGCTTATGTTCTGACTAAATGTTGCTTAGTTTGTTTTGTTTTGCTGGGGGTGAAGGAGGAATTTGGAAGAAAATACAAACTCACCTGTCCAGGATCATGTGTAACTTTCTTTTTTCCAGTTAGAAAATAAAGCATGATTCCTGTCATTTCTGTACTACAGTCTTTATTCACAAGGAGCCTTGGTGACCCAGTGGGTAAGCACTTGGCTGTTAACTGAAAGGTTGGTGGTTTGAGCCCACCAGCAGCTCCATGGAATAAAAGACCTGGCAATCTGCTCCTGTAAAGATTAGTGCTTAGAAAACCCTATAGTGCAGTTCTACTCTGTCCTGTTGGGTCTCTGTGAGTTGGAATCAACTCAGTGAATGGCACACAGCAACAACAATCTGCTCAGTCTCCATTCCCTGGAGCTTTAGGAACATCTGACTCAGGGTCTGGGAAAAATTTGTATTACTTACTTATATAAAACTGATGACCAAGATGGCCTTTACCTTCACTTCCTGGGATTTCTCTGTCTCACTGTTTCATTATAGGTCCTCTTTGAAACCTGTTGTTGAAATGAGTTGCCTCCAACTCATAGAGACCATATAGAACAGAATAGAACCATGGTTTTCCCAAGGCTGTAATCTTCATGGAAGCAGACTGCCATATCTTTCTCCTTCAGGGTAGCTGGAGGGTTTGAACTGCCAACTTTTCAGTTAGCAGGCAAGCACTTAACCACTAAGTCTTGTTATAAAACCAAACCAAACTCACTGCTGTTGAGTCAAATCCAACTCATAGCAACCCCTCGTTGGGTTTCTGAGGCAATATCACTGTGGGAGTAGATTGCCCAACCTTCTTTGTTATAGTTACTCCAAAATTATTTCCATGGATTGTTGATCTCTATTGTTTGCCTATTGTATGGGCATTCACTTTTATTTTTTGCCCTGAGCTTATACTCTTAACTCAACTGATGCTTGAATTTTCTACCCAGTTCAGATTATAGTATCATATATCTCAGTTCCATATATAGCTTATAGGTTTTCTTATTTTAAAATAAACCAAAAATCAAAAGTTGTTTTGCTGTCCATTTACTCAGTTAACTTTTTTGTTTTTAAAACATTCCAGTTCAAGAAGAAATTTTTAATTAAATATTTCCCTAAGATATGGAACATCTGCCTGTGGTAGGACACAAGACTCTAGGTGGTAAAGCAACAGGCACTGAATATCACTAAATAGCAAAGTGAGAAAGTAGTAACTTTACGATCTTTTTTGATCCTTCTCATTTTAATGCTTATGTGTGTGTGTATGTGTGTGTGTGTGTTTTTCTGTTTAACTTGTAAATCTCCCTTTCTATCAAAGAAAACAGACCTTATTAAGCTCAATGTTCTTGGCAGGTAGAGTCTTTGGCCATTGTTTTATTTTCATTGCATTAGTTTTACTGTGATACATTTCTATAGTAAAGTGTAACATTTCTTATTTACATAAAGTAGTTTTATTAGATTTAAAAAGTGAGGTTCTCTGCCTTTGTGGCTATTTAAATATTTGTATAACAAAAAATTAAGTAAGATAATTTAGAAGAACTGTATTAATTAAATAATAGCAAAGATTATAGAAGATAGGACAAATACTGTGAAGAATGACTGAATTAGAGAATGCTGAACTAAATCGCAATCTTGCTTAAATCTGATAATATCTTACTTATATTCTGCTGTCTTCGATCGAGGAAACCTAATTTTCTTAAGGTTTTCTGACAAAATGATTAACTCTTTAGAGACTTTTTTTTAAACCTTTACATGTTTTGTTTATTTATTTTTTTAAGTCCACAAGTCAGCATCAACATAATGTATGATTACTTGCTGACTTTTGTTTCTGGTTTTGAAAGTTTGGGACAGAGTGCTGAATATCGTCACATATGGTCCCTTGAAATCTCCAATAAGCCCAATGTGTCTGAACCTGAAGAACCAAAGATTCGTTTTGTTGCTGGTATCCATGGAAATGCTCCAGTTGGAACTGAACTGCTTTTGGCTCTGGCAGAATTTCTCTGCCTGAACTACAAAAAAAATCCAGCTGTTACCCAAGTAAGAGAACAGCCTTTTTTTTTTTTCAAATTTTATTGTGATTTGGGTGAAAGTTTACAGAGCAGATTCATCTTCCGTACAGCAATTCACATACACTTTGTCTCATGACATTGACTGTAATCTCCCACAGTGCAACAGCTCTCCTCCCACTTCCTCCCCATAGTTACCTCTTCCCTTCATCCTTCCCTCCCATATACTCCTGCCCCCCGAGCTGTGTCCTTGTGCATACATAGCCCTTCTAGAGAATAGCCTGTTTTGACATACTTTAAAAGGAAAAAAATCTCAGTGATATGTTCGTATCAAGGCACCTTTTTAAAAATTCTTAATCTCTTGTTAGGTTTTTACTTTTAGTGCGTTATAAATTTTACCCTTTAAAAATGGACCATCTTCATACATACTCATTCTCATTAGTCTCTATTATGTTTCTTTGTACATGGTGAGAAGCATGTTGTTGTTATGTGTTGTCAAGTTGGACCTGACTCACAGTGACCCCTCCTTGGGTTTCTGAGGCGGTATCACTATGGAAGTAGATTGCCCAACCTTCCTTCCAGGTAGTGGCTGGTGGGTTTGAACCGTCAGCCTTCTGGTTAGCAGTCAGATGCCTTAGGTACTACACTACCAGAGCTCCTGAAGATTTACATTCAGTCCTCTGCTCCTTTATTTAATGGCTAAGTTTTCTTCCTAACTTCTACTCATAGGCCTACACATTCTTACATTAGAGACTTCTATCCCTAGTGAATTGAAACTAGAGCACCATATTGAAACATATGATGGAAAACAAATAGTTTTTCTTCTCATATAGTATAAATTTGACATCAAGAAGCCTGCTAGGAATTTTAGTCAAAGCAATATGGCGTTGTCTGCTTTAGTCATCTATGACTGCAGGAAGGAACTAAGTTTTGTCCAGAGGCTTGGTCTGGATTATCCAGTCTAGTTCTGTGATGTCTCAGAAAAAGAAAGGAGAATGTATATATTCTTGATACTATCTCTACTGAACTTAGGAAAGGGGAAGAGCTAATATTTGTTGAGTATTTACTGTGTGCCAGGTACTGTACTGGATATTATACATACATCACTATAATTACAATTACTTAAATTTTATAGATGTGGATACTGAATCAGAGATTGCATAATTTTTAGGGGTTACACTGCTAATAGATAGTGAAATTGGAATTTCATTGTAAGTGTATCTCACTCTAAAGCCCCCATGCTGCTTTGTTATGCCATATAGCCTCCCTCAAAAGAGGTTTGGAAAGAATTGATGTCATAATTAGGTGAAATGAACTTAAATCAGACTGGACCAGTAATTATTGTACCAATAAAAAAATTCCTTGGATCAAACAATAATGAAACACAACATAGCAAAAGCAGTGCTCCGGGGGCAGTTTGAAGCAATAAATGCCACATCAAAAAAGAAAGAAGTAGAAATAAATGAAACATAAAAGAGAAAAATAGAATCAACAAGACTAGAAGTTGGTTCTTTGAAAGGATTCATAAAATTGACAAACCACTGGCAAATTTAACAAAGGAAAAGGAGAGGATGCAAATAACATGAATAAGAAATAAAATGGGTGATGTCACAGTAGAACCAACTGAAAGAATTGTGCTCCAACACATTTGAAAAGCTAGGAGAAGTGGAAAATTTTCTAGAAACGCAGTATCTACCCAAACTAACACAATCGGAGGTAGAAATTTTGAACAGACCTATCACAAAAGAAAAAAATCAAAGAAGTCATAAAAAAAAAAAAAAAACCTCCCAACAAAAACAAGTCCTGGCCCAGACAGCTTCACTGGCAAATTCTACCAAACATTAAGAGAAGAGCTCATACCAGTTTTACTCAAACCCTACCATAATGTGGAAAAGGATGGAATACTCCTGAACACATTCTATGCAACAAGCATAACACTGATACTAAAACCAATTACAGATCAATATTGCCCATGAACATAGATGCAAAAATTCTCAACAAAATCCTAGGCAATAGAAACCAAGAACATATCAAAAAATATAAACATCATGACCAAGTGGGATTCACACCAGGTATTTAAGGATGATTTGTCATTAGAAAAAGGATAAAAAAAAAAAAAATAATCCACCACATAAGTAAAATAAAAGAATCACATGATCTATAAGATAGATGCAGGAAGGGTATCTGACAAAATCCAATACCCATTCTTGATTTTAAAAAAAAAAAAGGCTTAGCAAAACAGGAATAGAAGAGGAATTCTTCAACATAATTAAGAGCATATACACCAAACCAATAGCAATCATTATTCTCAATGGAGAAACTAAAAACATTCCCCTTGCAAGTGGGAACCAAACAAGGATGCCTTTTATCACCACTCCTATTCAGTATTGTATTGGAAGCCCTTGCCAGAGCAATAATGCAACAAATGGAAATAAAAGACATGCAAATTGGCAAAGAAGTAAAACTCTCTATTTGTAGATGATATGGTCATATACAAAGAAAATCCCAGATACTCGACAAGAGAACTACTGGAAATAATAGAAAGATTTAGCAAAGTGGCAGGATGCAAGATCACTATACACAAACAAATTGGATTCCTTTACACTAATGAAGAGAATTCTGAAAAGGAAATTAGGAAAGCAATACCATTTACATAGCCACCCAAAAGGTGGAGTTGTTGTTGTTGTTGTTATGTGCTACTGAGTCGGACCTGACTCATAGCAACCCCTCCTTGGGTTTCCGAGGCAGTATCACTACGGAAGTAGATTGCCCAACCTTCCTTCCAAGGAGTGGCTAGTGGGTTTGAACCACCAGCTTTCTGGTTAGCAGTCAAGTGCCTTAGGCACTATGCCACCAGAGCTCCTAAAAAATGAATTACTTAGCACTAAATCTAACCAGAGTCACAAAAGCCCTTGTGGTAGTTCAGTTTGTATGTCAATTTGGCTGGGCCTGGTTGAGTGGCTGGGCAGCTGGTGGTAGTTATTCCCCATGATGAGACTGGCAATCAACCTCATGGTGGGATCTACCACAAGCAACTGAGTAGCTGCTTTTGGGATGTGGTCTGCTTCCTGTATATGAAGAGAAGCCTTGGGGATAGTCTCTAGCTTGTAGCACACTTGGACCCCGCATGTAGCTGTGTCATTGTTCAGCAGCCTGCCATGCTCTGCCGACCTTGGGACTTACAATGGGTTTAAATTAATGGCCTGCCGTGTGGTTTGGTAACATCGGGACTGTGACTTTTTACTTGTCAACCTTCGGTTTGTCAGCCTCAGCAGCCAGCAGCTGTCTGAGTGAAGAAATGCCTCTAGCTCCAGTGGGCCAGGAGCAGGAGGCAGAGCTGAACCCCAACGTTGAGGGGCTTTCACCCAGCCCCTAGAGCCTGGTACTTTGAACTTGGATTTAAAGCCTCCAAATTGTAAGAATAAACTCCTGTTTGTTAAAGCCATCCCATGAGTGGTATATATTCCTGTCAGAGCGGCACTAGGTAACCAGAACAGACCTGTACAAAGAAAACTACAAAACTTTACTACGAGAAATCAAGAGATCTACACAAATGGACGAATATACCAAGCTCATGTGTAGGAAGACTTAACATCATAAAATGTCAATACTATCCAAAGCAACCCATAGATAAAATGAAATCCCAGTCCATATTCTATTATCTTTCTTTAAAGGGATAAAAAAACTGATCACTAACTTTATATAGAATGGAAAAAGACCCCAGATCTGGTAGCATAGTACCTAAAGCACTTGACTGCTAACCAGAAGGCTGGCGGTTCAAACCCACCAGCCACTCCTCAGAAGGAAGATGGGGCAATCTAC